CCTGCCCTCTCTATTATTTTGGAACATATAAAAAAAACACAACACCTGAATATTTTAAGTAATCAATCACCACTTTGTGGCCCTCCTAGTTTTTAGTGCTGTCAGCATTCTTTACTTACCGTAGTTGTTGGTGGTATATCAATTGGATATACTGCCCTGTGGTTTTCCTGTTGACTGATTTTTTGTATCCAAAACCTCTCACATTTTGTGCACTGACCACAGTTGCTTGTAACATAAAGATAAAATCTACATGTTTGATAAAAGTCAAATTCATCTTTGTTTGAGAAACTTCTAATAAAACAAATACAGTACTTTTTTGTTGACTGTATGATTAGTGTGTTGTATTCAGGTACTGTAATGCTTCAAACTGCATGTACGATAAGATGATCATCAATTGATGAATGTGTAATTAATTTATTATTAGATGCTATCAAGGCAAAAACCGGCCACTGCGCCGAGTGTGCAAACCCAGTCAAAGGAGAAAGCCAAGAAGAAGCTGATTCCTAAACTTGAGGACTTTCTATCGGCTAGAGATTATACTGGAGCTATTACATTGCTAGAGGTAAGCAAATGACTAAAATGCTAATTGAAGGATGATTTTTTTCTTTGATGACCCCCTGTGAAGTATTAACTGTTACAAAATTTCGAAATTTTTTCTGAAGTATGACATTCTTATAGTGTCATTAGGGCCAATTAGTAATGGCCATTGCTGAAACGTGAACACTGAGAAAGTATAGCAAATATGCTATATACTGGTGCTGTACATTGAATCACTTGTAAATGAAAAAAAGATGGACGTAGGGTTTCATCCAGGTCTCAGGAAGGTGCCATCTATTGAAATCCAGTGTTATGAAGGGAACCTCAGTGATTGTGGTACAAAATGTCACGTTACCATGGTTTCTTGGCGAAATGTCAAAAACTTGAGGGGCTAAGCCTCTCTGTTTGACAGCTGCTCACTAAGTATTTTATATGTCATTTTCCTTGATAATGGTTTCCATCACATGACCATTTTCAACGAAATCTCAACCACTCGGTCCATAGTTTTCAAATCCATTTTATATGACATTAGCTTTTTGTAGGGTTACTTTGCCCATGCAATTATGTCTAAAACAATATTTTAAGACTTAATGTGGTTATATATATTAAACAAATCACAGCTATTGACGCTTTTAAAAAAAAATATCTCTTACCATATAAAACCTTTTACATTACTGGGTATACTGTAGCGCATGTACTTGCGTAAATAAGTGATACGTGTTTATGGCGAAAATAAGTTGTTGCCAGACCTATAACTGTTTTATTATCTCAACTCAGTTCACTCGTAGTAGTGGTAAAAGTAGTGAAGAGACTGACTTGTGGATTGCTTACTGTGCGTTTCATCTTGGTGATTATAAAAGAGCAATGGATGAGTATGAAAGAATGACAAAGAAAGACGCGTGTCATCCCGATGTATGGTGTAATGTGGCATGTTGTTATTTCTTTCTTGGAATGTACCCTGAAGCTGATGCCGCAACTCAAAAGGGTAAGATATACATGTACATTGTTATTATCATCATACAATGTGTAAGGTATTGATGCCATTTCACGGGCATAAATAAATTCTGTTCTTTACATTTAAAGCCATTTTTGCTGGGAAAGGATTGACCAGCTTTGTTATTAGTCCAAGAAAATTGTTCAGCTTGGAATGTGTCTGAACCTCTCATTAGTATGCAAGAATGTAGGAATGTACCAAGAAAATTTTTTTTCTGGAGTAAATTGTAGTGTATTTTACTTATGAATGGTCAAAAAGTGCATGGAGATTTTATGAAAATGTGTGGATGTTAACAGAATGATGTCATCTGGTCACAGTTGCGCAATAAATGATGGACTATTTTGGGTGTAGCTATAAAATGTGTCACCAAAGTACTCACACGTGTGCATGGATTACAATAGTTTGTGCTGTGAAGAAACTCCATTAGAAAATAAGTATTGTGTAATTTGTAGTGAGAATGTATTCAAATAGATTTATGTTTATGAATCTTGTTCCTTTTCAAAGTGTATTTATATAATAAAAATTGTTTATGAAAATGCTTTTTATACTTTTTCGATGAATTGAATTTACAAATGATGAGTTATTTTGTTATACCATCACTAAAATTGTGTGTTACGAATGTCTGATAGTTTAGGCTTTGTGTTCCTGCAAACGGGAAGACATTTACTGGTGTACAGTGGACATCGATAAAAGCTAACGTATTTCGAAAGTTGTGAAATCATACTACTGTTTTGGCATTATACAACTTGCAGTTCCTTTTTGATGGATTTTGTGTTACTGGCCGTGTTATCAAACTGTAGTATTATGTAAATCTGTCCCGGGAAAATCTGCAAGCAAAGTTTAAATTGCCATTTTCACGCTACGTTATAATGTGGAGTCATCATCTGAGTATGCACGATTGTTCGTCTCGTGTTCCCCAACGCATTTAAAAAATCCCTTTTGAATTTAGGGGACTTTGTGTGACTGACTGTGGTGTTTGTAAACATTAGTCAAACTGTAGTACCGTAAAATCTGTATTAGAAGCCGCATCCCTAATAGAAGTCGCACCCATTCTTTTTGAAAAATTGAGAACCAAAAAATCATCATTTCTCATATGTGTAGATGCTCTAATAGAAGCCGCATCCCCTCTATTGCATTGTACCATTTTAATAGAAGCCGCGGTTTCTAATACAGATTTTACAGTAGTGTGTAAATTTGCCACAACTTGGAGTTGCCATCGTCTCTTGTTTACCAACTCATTTAACTACGAGGACTGAAAACTGATTTCCATTGACTTCGTCTGTTATAAATCAGTTGATTGTATTAGCTTCTCTCGAACTTCCTATTGCCATCGGGATTATGTCTACTACACTCGGCGGTGTAGTGCGTATCGATCTTCTTATATGAAACAAACCCGGAAATCGATGGCAAATCGAGATGGTCTCGTCGCGTAATGTCTTACCTTGTTCTTGACCGCAGTACGCTTGGCTATGAACTACACATACCCACGCTTATGGGAATGGTGCATCGTGGGTAATACTGTATTGATCGATGTGAAACAAACATGGCTGCCGTAATGCCTGTTGTTCGACTACATCGCTGGTGTTTTTCTTCCTGTCTTATTATTATTATTTCAATTAAACAGCGATTTGGCTGTGGCCATGCATTTAGTCATTGTCGACTGTTTTTCTCGAATTGGTTGATTGTCATAGTCAATACGATACAATTAAACGTCCCAAGTTGAACAGTAGTTATTTCTAAGGTTCAAAATAAATAAACAAACATAATTATTTGATTTAGTTTAATTCCTTCAGTTAAAAATTGAATTTCCAAAATAAATAAATAAATAATAACACTTACCCTCATGTAGACTTCAAGTTTCATTAAAACAAAGTCAAAGTCTTTAAAATTGCTTTTCTGCCTGTTCGCCAATCCATTGCTCCAAAACACACCTTTAAATACTCTTCATTTTCCCAGCATCGAGATGGCTCTGCCAACTCTTGTTTGAATACGTTTCACTATTGACAGAGCTCTGACTTTTTACTGTGTCTGGGTAAGAAAAAGCCAAGAAAAAAATCACTCCAAGTACCCATGAACCTGCATCTATACCTTAAGGCAGGAGGAAAAGGAAATTGATCTGTGATTCAGAATATGTTAGTGCATATGCCGTATCAATGTTTGTCTAGGGGAATACCCGATGGCCAATTTTGCTATTGTGCTTTTTTGACTGTTTCGACTATGTTTAAGACTTTCAGTGAATGACCTGTCCATTGTACAGAACGTTTGTAATGCTGTAAGCTAGACGATCGCATATTGGACATGCTATTGACAACACCTGAACAAAGACAACTGTTAGTAAATAACATACATGTACTTTACGTACTATTCACTGAAAACATTTGAATTGTCAGTACAATGGAAAAGTTCTGTTACATGTGGTATTCTGTTGATGAATTCCTGTTACAGTTACAGTGATGAAGTCATGTTATGGATACTGTGCTGAATTCCTTTTACAGTTACAATGTTTATGTGTTATGGTTACAGTACCATAGGCTTAATTAATATCTGAATCCTAAAATTTAAATTTTACTCAATTATTATCAACAGGTCCCAAAAGTGGTTTACAGAACAGATTGCTTTTTCATGTCTCTCAAAAAGTAAGTGAAGATTAATTATAATCAATCTGAATTTCACTGTTTGGTTATTTTTTTCTTTGTTTTGTCACATAATTGTTACTCCAAACATTTCTAAGTGGATACAAATTTATTGTCTTTGTGAAATTGTCATTGTTGTTGGGCACTTGGCCTGGGCACTTTTGTATCGTAAAAAACACATTATAACCCCCAAAAAAGTTTTTAGAATACAAATTTAAATTTAATGAGTGGTTACAGAAATGTTAGATGACATGTTTTATGCTTATGTTCCAAAATTATCTTGGCTGTATAAAATAAAATACATTTCACCATGTTTCCATTCCACCTGTTTAAAAAAACATGCATATCATGCTGCATCAAATTTACTTCCGCAATGCAATCTTTGTGATTGCCAATATTAAAAAGATTTTGGAAACTGACAGGTAGTACCTCATGGTGTTTTGATGAGTAATACATGTACATCCATATTTAACCTACAAGTCAAAAGACACCAGGCGGGTCAAATCATGCATGTTGGATCTCACTTGTGTATAAAATTGATCAAGTGTTCTAAAAACTTCTTTCACAATAACACAAATTTAAAATTTAAGTATATTTCATAGCTTTTTTTTATCAAACCATGACAGAGTAGTTAGTTATTTTTGTACAGTCAGTATCTACATATTTGGTTTGGTTTGCAAGTTGTTTTGTTTCTTACACTTTCTCTAACATCATGTCTCGTCAGTTCAACAGTGTTTGTCATATTAATTAATGCCTAAATTAGAGTAAAAAAACGACACAATTCTGTGTTTGGTAAAAATTTTAGAAGCCAGTAAATGACAAAAATCTGCCAAATAATTCGTCATTTTTTTTGGTACTCAGTATAAAAGCTTGGTCACATTTAATTTTAACTTGTTCTGTTCGTTTTACTCTGACTTCTAGTTCAATGATGAGAAACGTTTAATGAGTCATCATCAAAGTCTACAGGACGTTATAGAAGATCAGCTGAGCTTAGCATCTATCCACTATCTACGTAGTCATTATCAAGAAGCTATTGATATTTACAAAAGAATATTACTAGATAACAGGTCAGTATGATGCTTAACTCGTTTATTTTTTTACTCTGGGAATCTTATCTATGTATGTATGTTTGTATGTCTGTTCTGCCAGTATCTCAAACATCTGGTATAATGTGCAGACCTGGGTAAAATGGGTAAAAATCTGTTCATAATAATCACCTAATTTGCACAATGATTAGTAAATTTTCGGCTTTTCAGCTGATATCTCAAGTCTAATCATCACATTTCAATGAAAGGTGGTACATGGATCCTCTAGCCAAAGTACATTACAGAGAGAGTGAATTGTTGTGTTTCCGGTTTCCCTCGAGATCTGCTAGATATGATGTACATGTATACATTTATTACAAGATGCTATGAAACTGATTCATGTATAAATGGGAGACCTGTCAAAGCCAAACCCTTTCTCTCTTTCAATTGGCATATATACTCTATAAATCAAATTACATAATTGTAGTCGCTTTGGTGTTTAAGATATCATTCCAGTTGACATATATTATTTTTGTTGTTATTTCAGAGACTACTTGGCGTTAAATGTCTACGTAGCCTTATGTTACTATAAGTTAGATTATTATGACGTCTCGCAAGAAGTGCTGGCGGTTTACCTACAGAACTATCCAGACAGTGCTATAGCTATCAACCTCAAAGCTTGTAATCATTTTAGATTGTACAACGGCAAAGCAGCCGAGGTGAGTGGATGTCTGTTTGCTGATCCATGCTCCATGGAAAATGTTGGTATCAGTCTCATTTCTAAATTGTTGATCACAAAATGCTGTTTTTATAGAAACCTATAGCTTAGCAATCTGTAGGGAAACTGATGAATGATTTGATGCTTTTTTGATTTTTCTTCTCCTAAAAATGCCATAATGTTTCCCTCCAAAATGTTTTTGTACATTTTTATGTATTTTTCCATAATTTCTTTCTTTATTTTGGGTCAAATTGGCACAATTTCCAATTTGTTACATGTCTTGATGAGCATTAAATGTGGCAAAATTTATGTGGCTTTATTCTGTGAAAAGTGACAAAAGTTGACTACAGCATTATTAACTTTACTAGAATTTTGTAATTTGTGAAATTTGTACACAGTTTTAACAATAAGAGTAAGGTGGACTGCTACATTAAAACAACAAGTACAAGTTCAGCATACTGACGTAAATATGTCATCACCTTTACATTATCTTATTTTAACATTTATTTTATTTTCAGGCAGAGTTGAAAAGTCTTCAAGAAATTGCATCACCATCATTTGACTTCGCCAACGACCTCATCAAGCATAATCTGGTGAGTAGTTGCACTTAGTGAGTAGGGCACACTGTACTCTGATTCATAGCTGGCTCCTGGAATTAAACCCAGAACCTCTTTGATGCAAGGAAAATAAGCTGACTACTGTACCATTGCCCAGAATTTATATTATGACTTATTTTCTCATATTGTTGCTGTGTCTGAGTGAACTTGCATATCTCATAGACACTAACTTTAGACTTGTGTTTTGGCTTAAGTTACTCAAAATTGAAAGGACTTTAAACAAAATGTTGTCAATACAACAGTACTTTAATAATGGGTACCGCAAATAGATTTCACTGTGTTTTTTTGTGTTTTTTCTCACTACAGGTTGTATTCAGAGGAGGTGAGGGGGCATTACAAGTATTGCCACCATTGATTGATGTCATCCCTGAGGCAAGACTCAATCTTGTCATTTATTATCTTAAACAAGGTAATTAACAAATTATTACTTCATGCTCTCTAAAAAAATTAAATCACTATGTCTGCCTTGGGATATTAATACTTTCAATCAGAGACATTCCTTAAATCATATAATTGCCTGACAAGTGAGGTAGGATCAATGTATGCATTTATGTTGCAGCTGACAATCATACTTTGTTGCTTGTAACCTGCATTATTGGTTGATAGTCCTTCCCCAATAACTATAAATAATATGCATTGATTGTGTTCATACTTGGTACAAACATCAGACATTAGGGGACCTTGATGCATCTTGGATTCAAAATGGCTGACTGGTGGCCATTTTGTTTTTATAATGAATGCAGTTCCAGGGCCATATCTCTAACTGTTCTTTAACTTGATAACTCACAAAGACTATGTAATGCACTTACATGTTACATTCAATTACATGTTACATTCAATTACCTGAGTCAGTTTTTCAATACTGCTTTGTCTTTTCTCAGATGACGTACAAGAAGCCTACTCATTGATTAAAGACTTGGAACCAACAACGCCGCAAGAGTACATACTGAAAGGTGTGGTCAATGCATCGCTTGGTCAGGAACAAGGATCGGTTAGTTCATTTTTTAAATTCATTTACAACTGCTCACAATAGGTATAGTAATAAACTTTGTATTAACCACAGTAAATTAACAGTACTGCTATGTAAATTGTTAATCTATATCGTTGACAATAGTTAAATAATAACACATGCTTGTGAGGGTAATATCATGATTTGTTGCCTGCCCAAGGGATGGTGGTCATGATGCCAGAGCCGAAGGCGAGGGCATAATCAATATTATGGTCATGACCAACAGCCCGAGGGCAGACAACAAATCGTGATATTGCCTGAATAACCATGTGTTATTTATTTTATCACATCGAACAGACATCCACCATGACAATCACAGCTACCATACACCACTCACCCGCTCTTCCACAAAATAACAACACTTATACAGTCAAACCTGTGTTAACGACCACCTGTGCAGAGCGGCCACCTGCTCATAGCGACTACCTTAGTACAGTCCCTTCGCAATTTACACGTTAAAGACACTGGATATAGCGACCAGCTACCACCCTATTGTAGACCTATTCACACTTTAACCTTTGTATAATGACCACCAACATTTCCATCAGACGGTCTCAGGAAAAAGACAATAGCTGCTTGTGAATCACTAACAGGAAAGTGGCAATATGTTACTTTCAGATTTCCGAGTAGACAATCTTTAGGGCTATAATAGACAGGAGTGACCATCGCAACTTGGTTTGTGAAGTTGCGAAAAAGTAAAAAAAAAAGTTGAATATCATCTGAATGTAAAGTCTGGAGACTGGAAAGATTAAAAACAAATTAAAACAGTTTCATTCAAAGTTTGAAATGTAAAACTAGATTGTTTCCGATCGGTACTACCCCCCGGTATACTATCGATCCCCAGCTGGCCAGCGGCACTTCTGTGGACTGTCTGTCTCGCACATGAAGAGCAAATTCCTCCTGTCTCGAAAACAAGAAAAATGAACCAGTTTTATTGAATGAGAGATGTTTTATTTACCTTGTCGACATGAAATATCCAAACAAAATAATAATTTAAAACATTTGTTTATTTCGTTTCCATCGCGGGATTGCAAAATCCGACCTATTTTGGCCGCCATGTTGTTTGTTGTTGATCGTTATAAATTATGCTAATGAAGCTAGCGCATGGGCAAAACGTATTGTTACTGAGGGGTCATCTCGGGGTTATTCTCAACGAAAGATGTTTTCTATTTTGATCCTCTTTTTTTTATAAACGGTAATATCAATAATTCGCAATTGAGAAAATTCGTTTTGACACGTCGATGCTTGCAACAAATAACTGTAAAATTGCGTGTACGATGATCGTGTTTCATTTCCGGTTCGTTTGACTTTCTAATTCAACACCCACCGAGAGTTGGAGCAATTGTTATGAGTTTGGTAAATTTTGTTTATTACCATTATTGTTTGTTTGTTTTTTCAAACACGGCAACTTTGCCTGTGCATTTTGTCACAGTGTACAATCGACAATACTAACGATGGGACTGATTACCGCCTGTGAT